CGAGAATTGTGAATCATGGGCCATTAGCATCCAGCAATCCAGTGCAGCTAACTTGCAGACAGAAAAAGTAAGTAGCTTCTGTAGCAATAGGTGCACCCTCCAACTCTAACGTGCTGTAACAACAGTGGGGCAAGCAGCACTGCTAAGGAACACAAAAGCAACTCATGGTGGAGTTTCTGACCTGCGCTATATCAACACCTGAGTTCAGAATGATGTGAATAACCCTCCATCCAGTGCTGTCCAGCCTCACAGACACCACTGAACACTTAAGATAGGGCAGACTGTACTAACTACCCAGTGCCCCTATGCTCCTTCCAAATCCACCTCCATTGCAACATCTCTATAAATCCCCAAAGGCTGCCATCTCACCCAGTAGCCACCTCACACAGTAACACGCTCAGGATGCAGTCACATGGATCCGGCAACAGTTATGGTTGCTTCACACAGGCAGGAACAGCACTCTGGGCTGGCAAAGCTGCCAATGGCTGAAGCTAAAACTGCTTCCATGCTTAAAAAAGGGCAGACTATTCCATAAGGCAGCACAGGCAAGTTAAGTCAAACCTGGAGTACTGCAAATTAGTTCCAAAACAAAAATCACCGCTAATGTATCTTAGCGTGGGGTAAAGAGGAAGGGTCTGCATCCCAGACCATGCAGAGAGGACAAATTGTCTGACGCAATTCCACATAGTGAAGCCCAAAATAACCACCACTGGTGAAACATGAGAATGCTAATCGATGAGATTTCAAACAAGTCTAAACAGAGCTCCAGCTACTGCAACAAGCAATTTAGATATGTGCCAGTTGCTTGGAAAGAAGTTACTCTCCCTGTATTTTAACTGTACTATAAAAACAAAGTATGTTTAAGGACACAGAATTCACTGTTCCCAACTACAGAAACCTGAGATACCAATGTGAACTTCATATTGAAGAGAAGTTTTGAAGTATTTGTCTTATTTTACAGAGCTATTTATAGGTTTGTTTGGGTTGTTGTTTTGTTAGGGTTTTTTTTAATATACACAAACAGCATTCTCTGAAGAGCAGGTGAAGTGGCTAGGTGACACTTTGTAGAGTTCACATTATTTGCCATTGTCGTGGTTTAAACAAAGTCAGCCATAAATCACGCAGTCGCTCTCTCACTCCCCCCCACCTTTTTGCCCTCCCCCTGCTCCCAGAGGGATGGGAAGGAGAATCAAAAGAATGCAGCTCCCACGGGTTGAGATAAGAACAGTTTAGTAACTAAGGTATAACACAAATCGCTACTGCTACCACCAATAATAATAATGATAAAGGAAATAACAAGGGAAGAGAATACAACACCTCACCACCAGCTGACCGATAACTTGCCCCACCCCGCCCGATACCTCATCCAACCCCGCAGTGCCCTAGCGCTTCCGGCTAACTCCCAGTTACATCCTGGGCATGAGGTGCTGTGGTATGGAATACCTCTTTGGTCAGTTTGGGTCAGGTGTCCTGTCTCTGCTTCTTCCCGGCTTCCCCTCCTCCCTGGCAGAGCATGAGCCTCACAAAGTCCTTGGCCAAACCAAAACATCCTTGTTATCAGCTCTGTTCCCAGGCCGAAAGTCAAACACAGCACTGCACCAGCTACCAAGAAGGAGAAAAATGACTGCTACTGCTGAACCTAGGACAGCCATTTAAGTTGACAGCGCTGTAAAGATATTTTTGACTTCACATAAAAGCTTTCATACTTGTTCCCAAAACATTATTTTTAAAATCTGTATGCCATATTCACTTTAAAATGTGCAGCATTTTGTGTGCTAAGAATATTTGCCAGAAAAATATATCTGCAGAAATTAAATAGATCTGGAAGTTCATTGCTGATTAAGACAAAAAAAACCACCACATTTTTGTGTCAATAACACCCCTTCTTATAAGCCTAAGAACTTTATATTTAATCTTAAATAATATGCTAATTATCCTGCAAAATAGTTCTAATTCTCTTGTATCAACATCTTCAGCACAGACTTCACTAACCAGTTATTTTTACTGAATCATCTGCTTATTACAGAAGAATTTTTGCTTTGCGGTGGTGAATGACAACTAATAGGAAAAAGGATCAAGCCTCAAACCTGCCTTTCAATGCATTTTTGTATTGCAAAAGGAGGTGGTATTACAAAGTAACAACAGGACTTCCCATGAACAACCCTCAACCTTAGTAGCCACGTACTATCACAGGCCATGAGCAGTTGGGAACTAGCACAATAGTTACTAATCATTTACTTGTAAAATCTTTGATGCAATAGGATTCAGCAGCCACAGATACAGAAAATCAGAAATTTTTCCTTCTTTCACCATCCCTACACACCATTTACACAGTACTGAGGTACCTACATATTCCAGTGCAAAACTGCAATTCAATCAAATGCAAGTATTTCCCCCTCACTGATCACATTTCCTGTTCAGTATTACTGACATGCCATGCCCAAGAATTCTACCAGATCATTAAAAGCTGTGAGATAAGGAATCCTCAATTTGGGATCCCCTCACTTCTGCAAATGGAGGCTGCACTGAAATTATCTCCCTGTGACAATGAAAAAAAAAAACATTAAAGTGAAATGAATTCAAACTGTGTATGTACATAGAACAGAACATGAGATAGAATGAAATTAGAGGTTTGTAAATGCCAATGCACAGCTGCTTTTTCTTCCTTTTTGTTTTTATCAACAGATTCTATGAATTCTGTTAGAATCCATATGAATGCATCAAATGATTTTCCTCAGCTGTCTACTCAATAGGGACAAAGAGAGTATTATTCACAGGTAACAAGAGGGATGGTACAAAAGCTGGGCAGCAAGGATGTGGTTCATTAAGGGAAGAACTAAAGAATTCATTAAGGTTCACTGTGAGCCACAGCTTTGTAAGTATTCTCTGATGTGCCAATAACGTCATAACAAATACCTAAGTAAACTAGTTAAGTAGTTTTCCCTCACATTAACATTGGTTTCAGTGTCACTCAAGCTGTGGTCACCTACAAATTCAAAAGTATGCTTGATCTTTTCTACAAATCACAAACAAGTCTGGCGCCCAGACACTCCTCTGAGAATACCTCCACATCTTCCACCCAACTTAGAACAGCATTCTAGCAAGAATGCTATAAGCCATAGCATGGTTTGTTTGTTTGTTTTAACAACACAACATAGCTACTTGTCTTAGTAGCGTGACAGGCAGCCATTCTGCTAGGAAGTTTCCACACTACCATATATCATTTATTTTTCAGGCAATTTTTAGAATACTTCTTTACAAAATGCAATATAACTGATACGCCCCACATTTAAAATTATACCATCCAAGCAGTCTACCAAGCCATTTCCTCCACCAGCAGCACGAAGACAGAGTGCATTGTGACACCTCATACATATTTAATAATAGCCTGATAAGCTGTCATTAACATCAAACAGCAATCCAAGTTTGCTACATTAAACATGATCCCTATGTTAAGAGGGCAATCACAAAGTGCCTCCAAGATTGAGGCTGTAAGAAATACCCACTGACTTGGACAATGAGGCCAACTGCACTGAAGAAGCCATTATTCACACACTGGATTTAAAAGGAAAAAAAAAATGCAGAGGAAAAAACCCGAGAAAGCAGAGGAAAAAACAAAACAAAAGCAAGCAGAGGAAAAAGAAAAACCTTCAATGGGTCATAAGACCAGACATGCCATAAGGCAATCTGTCACATAGTACTCATATTAATAACTGTTGTGTCAAAACTGAACATTCAAAAGAAAAGACAAACCTTCCTTTATGTTTTATGAAATGTTAGCCCACAGAATTAATAATTCATGAGATGGAGAAAAAGATCAGATTTGGATATAAATATTAACAGAATGCTGTCAACCTGTTAAGAACCAAATTTTTACTGTCCTGCCTTGCAATTATCAATCTAGAAGGGAGTATTCTTCAAAAGCTAAAAAAAAACAAAACAAAAAACCCCCCACCAATCCATATGAAAATCATTAATGAAGAAATTAACATTCTCCATTCATGTAGGTCCTAAGCAAAACAGCATAACTCCATCCTGTGCCTGGCTGTTGCTGAGTGAATGCTAATTGACTGGCATTATTTGTTCCCAGAGTTACCCTGCATTGACAACAATAACATTGGCATGAACACAGAAGAGTTCACCAAAGGGACATAGTTAAACCAAGACACCAAGACACAGTGCAAAAAGGGTAGGGAAAGAGAGCAGTAGTTGTCAAATGACAAACAAAGATGACACAGCTAATTAAAAGTTAGTATAAGTTTGAGAATACAAAGCTTATACACTGGCACTTGGACAAATTTTCACGATTAACTAGAACACAGACACTTAAGAACTATAAAAGAAAGCAATTAACCCAAAACATTTTGTTTTAAGTTCACTGCGTGTGACTTCAACCAAATATGAAATATATTTTCAGAATGTTTGTTAGTCTCAAGATAAAGAAATATTCAACTAGACCTATAAAATGATGCAGTTCATTTTAATCTTTGGTGCTAAAGTGGTTAGCAGTTGAAGTTCAAGATCTAGAAGAAACTTCTACCTTATGAAGCCAGCCCTTCTCTGCTTTCACCATCATTAAAAAGAATAGAATATTGGAAGACAAAACACAGTTGTGCTGAAAATCAAGAAGGCAGTTGAAATGCATTGATTTAAATGGCAGTTACAGTGCTTTTCTTTACAAGTTTCGGGTTTTTTTTGGATGGGTTTTCCTGTTGTTTATTTGGGGCTTTTTGTTTTCCTTTTGGGGTTTTTTCCCCTTCTCCCCAGCCATGATATAATTTTGGTCTATTTATGTCCCCATCTGCACCTACATTCTGGGCAACGGTGTTAAAAAATACTTCCATAAGCATCAACACTGGGGACAGTCAGTTTAAACAGTCCACTTTTCTCCATGGTTCCTTAAATTTTCACTGCATTTCACCCAGTCTTGAGCACACAGAATGACAATCCAAGGAAGCTGAACACTACAGGCTTTAATTTTTTTTTAAGTTAACACCTACCTTTATCATTCTAGAAAGATCTCCAGCATCTGCTAATTCCAACACTATGTTCAGCTCATTGTCTTCAATGAATGAGGCATAATACTTAATTACATTTGGATGATTCAGTTGCTAAGAAAGCAGAATAATAATGCACATTTTAGTGTACAGCATTTCTTATCCATCTGACAAAAGAAACATTCTCACTTAGGCAAACAACCCCCCCTTCAATCTATTTCAGTGTGACACAAGAAGTGGATGTTTATGAGAATCATTTACAGATAAGTATTTTTGCAAGAACATGATGGCATTTTAGAGTCAAAATCATGACTGAAGCTGCAATTTTAGAAGGATTTTGCTTCAATGTACCTATTCAATAGTATGCTTAACTGTTACCTGAAACACAAAGCCAACTTTTAAAATCAGTACTTTACTGTACACAGAACACAGTTATTTACAACACTGGGTTTTAGCAGAAACTTCTACTTTAAGAGTCACCCATTTTTTCTATGGGATTTACTTCACAATGTTAACTTTTAAAGCTATAAATGTTACAAGATACCTTAAGTGAAAGGTATCAAAACCCTACAAGTGGACACCTCCAGCATATCTATGAAAAACAATGTACTTATATGATGGCCACACATTTTTAAACAAGTCTTTTACCTTAAGAAGATCTATTTCTTTGATGCAGTCAGCACGGGCTTTGGCATCCATTAAATCAAATATCTATGCACAAGAGATAAGACATTTTTATTAAGTAATAACAATATAGCAAATTGAACAATCATTATGATTATTCCATAGCATCCATAAAGCAATCCGAGTTACGCATACTGTGGGCAAGACATACCATTGCAATAAGAAATACCCCTAATGCTTTGATGTACTGATTTCCTGCCAGATCAATTCTTCTAGCCCCCCTCATAGGGAACAAGTCCATTGTAAGTACAAGTTTCCCAATGACTAATTGCCACCTCTGCATATCTGTTCAAGCACACAGTAATAATTCAGCACATTTCCTTCAAGTTGTTTTTAATCCAAATCTCAGCAATTTCTCCCATTCCTGCCACACCATTATCACAAACTGATTCTTTTTAGTTATTGAGCATACCTTTTTTCTCTGGTCTCTTGCTGCAGTCTTCCTTTTCTATTCTAAATAATGCATATTTTCACTCACTTCTCTCAGGATCAAAATTGCACTGTCACCTCCAATTCTTTCTCTCCCATTTCCTTCCCTTCAGCAAGCAAAGTGACTTGGGTTTTGTAATTTGTTTACTACTGCACTTTCTTCTAAGCCCTCATCTGTCACCTTGACTTTTACAGCCTTTTACAGTTGGATATCTCTGCTCTTCATTTTTTTCTGCCTTCCATCTGCTCCAAATTACTCTGCAATGTATCTCATTTTTGCCTCCTCCGGTTAACCACATTGCATGCCAGTAATTTCATTTTTTGTTTGGAGTAACTTTTTCCTGCCATTAGTCTTTGTCCACATTCTACAAATCTATATTTAATCTACTGTCTATTTTTACTCCCTTTTTTAACCACCTTTGGGTTCCCTTCCCACCTCACTTGCTCAGATGTGTATCTTCACATACTGACACCAACTAATTCCCTTAGAAATGACCAAAATGTTACTTCTTCAAGGAAACCTTCTCCTGTCATCTGAAATTACTTTCTGAATAAATAAATCTTGATGAGGGTTTGTTTTGTTCCAGTCCTGTGTGGTCTGCATACTATTACATTTCAAGATACTCAGTTCCAGAGAAGAGTAAGAGACACGTACTGTGAGTTTTAGTAACTGCCGTTACATATATGAGATTACTTTTTCCAGTTGTATCCTTTCAATGCACATTTCTTTCTAAGATGGTCTCAAGATGTATTATGTGCTGTGAAGATCATTGGTACCTGGTTCCATCAGCTCAAAATGATCAAAAGCTCAACAGCTGACAACTTCCATTTCATATCTTCCCACTAACACCAGAAACAAAAATAAGGATTCACAGCACCAAGTACTGAATGTCTGCAAAGAAGTCACCTCTTAAACTGACTGCATAACTGCCCATGTGAGTCTCCCCAAAGAACATCAAACAAAACAGAAAGTCCACATATGATCTACTAAACCTCATCTTCATTTTCTATGTGCAGTAAGTTTGTCATTCTCCTCAAAGTCAAGGTCTAGGGATTTCAGGCATGGAGCACAGTCCTTACAGAACATACATGTGCTCTTGGCTAGCCACTACTTCCCTTCAGATATCCAATCTTTTGTCTTCAAAGCTGGCATAAGAAAAAACAGCCTGGACTGGATACAAGATTCACTTTGTGGCAGAAAGACAACTCTTAAGTCAAAAATTGAAATGCCAAGCTTGTAAATGGTAAGAAAAGGGGGATGAGGAAAGAAAGAAAACAAAGCTACTGACCAAGAAAGAAAGGGAGTAAACCATCCCACAACTACTGGTATATCAGCACCAGGATGATGGGAAGTAAACAGACTAAGCTAGAAGCAATTATTCAAGGACAAGACTGTAGGTAACATAAACACTTAAGCCTGAGAAGCACAGCAGGGTAAGACACAAGAAAGGAATGCTAACACTGAGAAAGAAAGCAATTTCAGATGTAGTTAAGAGAAAAAAGTTAGTGCTATATATGAAATTACAAGTATTAAAAGGTCAATAACACTGATGGAAAAGACAGAAATGTTTATGAATTAAGGCTGGGAAACTTAGTGATGGAGGTGAAGTAGACTGCATGTGTTACAGAACTCAACTCTGAACAAAAGGAGTAATAAAACATTGCTCTTTAACCTTTTTGACAGTAGATTAAAGTCCTAGTGTTTGGTATAGTCATGAAGAACTGTAATGAATTTTTATCAGGAAACATTTAGGAAAGTTCTAGATATAAGAAGCAGCACATCAACTGAGGAAGTACTTGGAAGGCGTCAGATTGAAATTGCCTTTCCCTGTAACCTAATAGACCAGGCAAATGGAAAATTGCATATCCCCTCTCCCAAAAACAGTCGATGAAGGTGCATACAGGGAAGCAGGGGAAAAGGGTCAAGTGTAGGGGCATGTCTTGAAGCTTCACACTTCTGCTAAGTTCCAGATAATAGCCAGACAAGAATATTCCTTATAAACGTTACAGACAACTCCAAACACACTGGAGAACCTAATCAAAGCTGCAGATAGAATTCTAGACTGAAAATTGACCACAGATTATCTACTTGTAACACTTGGAGAAATTAACCAGAGCACAATTTCAAGATTCAAAACCAAAAGAGCTTCACTGTGAAAACACGGAGCAGCTTGCACCTGTTAATGACTGTTCCAATATGCCAAGAGGCAAATCAACATACCTATAGTAAAAGTATTTCCCTACACACCTAAACAAGCAAATTTTGCAAGCAAGTTTTTGTCTAAGCTATGCTACCAACAGGGACATAAACTGGTACCTCTCATAAAGGAATAACAACAACAAAAATAAAACCCTAGATTCAAGACTGTGAAAGATTTAGGATTAAGGCACATGAAAGACAAAATTGTGTCTGTGCATTCTGGCTAGTATTCCCAGTACTTCTAACTTGTTATTAAACAGCCCGGAGTAGACTACACCAAGCAGCTGCTCTCATAAAAGGACAGACTTAAGTTTTATAAACCTGACTCCCCATACTTTTGCTATGCTTAATACGGCATAGTGGTAAAGTTACTCACTTGAGCTGAAGCTGTGACATTTGAAATGTTACCTGACTAAAATAAAGCAAGACAGAAAAAGTGAGTCTTACTTAATCCTTACAATCTGAACATTTACTGTATATCATTCTTGAGGCTCTCCATTAAATTTTGGCCTAGATCTAACATCAAAAGACTACAAACAGCATTTCCCAGAAGTCCAGAATTTCAGTTTCACAGACATTAACCTCCTCCAGCAATAAGGTTGGGGAGAACCACACACAAACCAAAAAAACCCTAAACAAAACCAAGCAAAAACAACTGCACCACAAAACCCACCAAAAATCAAGCAGTCATGGCCTCTGAAGAGCTGCTGCCCTGCCATATCAGATTCAAACAGCTTGCAGAGATTTTCTTTCTGAACAGATTATCTTTCCACTTTTCCAAATGGCTGCAGTTCAGATCAGAGGCCCCTGGTGTAATAAGCCGTGTCAGCTCACACAAGGAAGCTACTGTAAACGCAACAAGAAAACCTCTGTGCTTCATCACCAGAAGATGGCTCAACACTGAAGAATGTCTCACACTGAAAAACAGAAGCCACAGTGAAAGACTTTAAGAACATCCTTTCAAGTGAGTGTCAAAATTACACATGGCACCTGGCAGTGCTCAGCTTGTTTTGCAGGAGCTGCTGAGGACCAGACAATGGTGCAGGAGAAGCTGTCCTTTGCTTGTGGTTTACTGCCGGCTGGCTATTGATGTAACAATATGAAGGATGTCAGTACTTCCATTACAACTGTAGCAGCTTATAGCATTGCAAGCAGACTAATTCCATCTTCAGCTACTACTACTCAGCAAACCAAGCTGAAAGGTCAGCTTATGCTCCCCCCTCCCTAGCATGAGGGCCACACACAGATTTATCCATCTCCCACCCTGTAAAGATGGTACTGCCATTGCTGTTAGCAGGCCTCAGACCGCCACAGAAACCAACTGTCTAAGGACTGGCAACCTTTTGTCTGGACTTTTCTTGGCCTGCACTTATTTTCTGCGTTTGGTTTTAACTGTAGCAGCATATGCCTTGCAGCTGAGTGACTGACCTGCAACAGAGTCATTACAGTCAAATGATTTCTGCTTAACTTGCTCGTAGCTCAGCTTTGTGCAACTGCACAATCTTAAGGAAATTACAGCAGATACAATAAAGGTCTAACCAAACCAGAGTGATTAACATCTGTAAGCTTTTGGATCAGCACAAAGCATCAGCAACTGCCTGCTTGAAAGCACCCAGCATAATCCAATGTAGAGCCACCACCAGCATCCTCCTGCCAGCAGAGTTTAGGAGATGATGCTCCATACATCAATTATCAGAAATTAGCAGTAATTAGACTGCAAGTGTTAGCGTCACTGTAAATGGCTATCAATAAATACTGCTGCATTTTGATTAGACTGCTAGGGCATTAATTAGACTTACAATAAATACTAATTCATAACTCCACATGAGGTCAGAATCACAGAGTAATTCAGATTGGAGGTGTGTTTCTCTAGTCAGCACAAATTGTACAGTGTAATACGCTTATTTAAAATTGTAATTATTTCCCCCCAACTTCTGTTTTCAAGGACTACCATAAACATTTCTACAAACGAATTATGCTTCCTGTAGAAAATCTGATAATAAGCAACAAATATAGTAAACATGTTTATTATGTGCCTTTTTTCATGAAGGGTGTAATCAAATAAAATCTCATGGTAAGCACTATACTTTAGTTAGCAATCACCGTGAAATTCCTGAAAACAACTGGGAAAATACAGCTGAAGAGACTTGAGAGCATTTTTAAAGCCACGTTTTTTTTTTCCACTTAGCAAGAACGCTAAGTGAAAGAAAAAGTCCATTTTTAGCTGTCAGTTTTTCATCTCCTACCGCAATCAATCTCATATGAAGGCAGAGAAGTCTATATAGATACTTATTCCAAAATATCCCCCTGTGTGCTTCGCAACTAAGGAATCTCTCTAGCAACTTTGCATTGAATTACTTCTCCAGCACATTTAGGCGAGCATAGGTTATAACTTTATCCTTTCAGCATTCTAGAAATGTGAGATATAAGTACTGTCAAGAGATACTGGTATTTTTAGAATAGTTTCTAAGCTATTGTAAGATGCAGAGCAGGAACTGTCCCCTGTGCAGCCATGTAAACAAAACAAAGAGACTGCAATACATGAAATTAACTTTCTGAGTAAAGTTCTTACATACATCCTCACAAACGCAACCAGAGCTCGAGGAAAACTGTCTGCAGAGCAAGAAGGTATAGATTTAACCATCAGATGGAAAACAGCAGGCCTTAGCTTCTAAGTGTAGGCAGTATCTGATTAATTACCAGCTATGAACTTAACTCATCATCTGAAGTAACATGCCTAGTTGGGAATCTACTTGATTCCTCTTGCTCTGAAGTCCATCACTTTTTCAAGTTTTCCTTTTCAGCATTGAAAAGGATAAAGATCTAACCTCACCATTAAATACGAATTTTACATATTTCTGTTTGAAATCCTGTATAAAATAAAAATACAAAAAAGTATTTCCAAAGCAAAACACAAGCATGACTGCTGTAACATAAACCTGCACACAAGTAAGCAAAATAAAGACTTGACTGCACATAAATATTAAAAGATACCATACTGAACAGCAACAACTAATGTTAAGAGTATTTTGCCACCACAGCATTAGTGTGCTGAGACAATTGTGCTTCATAAGGTGTGAAACTACAAGTGCTTTCCTAAGATTAATTATCTCTAATTCAGGCCTGAAGTAGCAATCCACTGACAATGCACAATGAATAATAAATGTAAGTGCTAGATAAAAGGGTTCCTTGTCTGAATCTCTAACAGGGGCCTACAATTCCAGAATGAAACTGAAAGAAAGGTGGAACAATGTAAGGCAGAAATGTAATGAATTTGGAATTCTTTGCAATACACAGTTTCACATACTTTAAATTTGAGTAGCTAAGGTTTACTTAAAAAATAGCCCATAAAGTGAACTCATAGAGCTTTACACCCCCGACTTCAAATATTTACAACTTTTCTGCTCTTTAGCAATGCTTTGTGAGTGTTTACTCCAGTATCCAGCAGTTGCTTACCTCCCCCTTGGAAGTGACCATGGGATCACCCATGGCTCAGGATGCCACCCCATACCTCAGGGTCGTATTGATAGCTCTGTTGCAAGGGTTACCTAGGGTTACGCAGTAGCAAATATGTATTGCTTCTTCCTCTAGGATGATCTTTCAGCATAGTTTGGACCCTAGACTTGAACACATTACGAAACTTAGCAAGAAGCAATTTAAACTTATACTGCTGTGTTCAAAGATTATCTGTGGTTGAACTATCCTGATGTTTCTTTCACTCAAAAGTGTAGTTTAGAATTAGTGAAAGTGAAGTAATGAAGATTTGTTTTTTAATTCTCATTTCATTTAGGTAATATTTCAACAGCATCTCAGAAAACATGGAAAAAGAAAGAACCTAATTATTATAAATACCACTTCCCTAATTACAAGAAGGCAAGCCACACATGGAAGGATGAAGCACAAAGGGTAAGATGAGAAGACCCAAGGTACTATGTTGTTTATTCTGCTTACTAGAAAGGGACTGCAAATTAAATAGTTTTCCACACTGCTACATATCCTATTGGAAAGCAAATCAAGAATTCTACTACTTCATGTCATCCGGACTCAGAAGCAACTACAAATTCAGAAAGAGCGGTTTCTGTCACCATCTGCTTGTCCTTTCTCCAACAGCATCTTACTGCCACTTGCTTCTGCTCGCATTTACTTCCACAAACATACATTTTGTACACATTAATATAACATTTATCAATATTGTACATATTTCAGCCAAATAAAATTTTAATAGCTGAAAATAAACGTTCCTGTTGGAAAGCTTCATAAGAACTCAGAATTGGCAATCTTTTTGGCACTAGCAATGGCCTGAGATCCAGTAACTCTTAAAGAGAGGGCAACCGATGAATTCTAAGTCACAGCAGCCTTTGAAGGCAGAGACAAACATGGGGAACCACCACCCAAACAGGCCTAAGAGAACAGCTATACACCTAACACAGCCAAGAAAATGAAACAGGGACGGGTGGAACGGACACAACTTGCAAGATCAGAGAAGAAAGCATGTAGAGATGAGAAAGGTCAGAAAATGGGAAAGTAGAATAAAGTCCAGATCTCAAGTTATGTTATTTAACACAAAATACAGCATTTAGAGACACTATCTCAACATGGAGATGTTGAAAAGGGTATCCATGCATGGGTCTAAAACAGAATAGAGCCTCTATCTCATGACAGAAAGAAGCATTCCTCCTGTTTTGTCCATGCTGAGCTTCCACTAATGAGGCATCAGGAAAGGCAATATTTTAATTTGAAATAAAGAAAACATGACTGAAATTAAAAGCAAGAAACACTATCATAGAACAGGCCCACAAAAACTCCTCCAAAAAGCAACTGCTTGTCACCAAAAGACATCTATGAAAACAAATTTTATAGTGAAATTAAGCATGGTGACTGTATTTTACAAAAACACTTCTATGGAATCTTAGGAAAGTCACAGAAGCACAGTAACAATTAAGACAGTCTTCTGTCCAAATGGAACAGTTTTAGATGCTAACTATGCAAGCTAAAACAGTGCCAAACACTCAGCACTGCCACAAGCCTTTTGAACGCCAGGTAATATTTCATCGTACACTTAGAAATTTCTACCCTTACAAGTCATCCAAATCCCACTTGCCATTCAGATAATAGTCTCCTACACACATTTAGCCTTCATAGGGAACGTGGTTTTACAGATCACAGAACACAGTTGCTCCTGACATGCACTAGGCAATAACATCCAATGGAAGACCAGCAGCATGTTGGATACCTTCAGACAATCAGAACAGTATTAGGTTAAAGCTATACAGGAGAGCCACAACTCTCTATTTCCTACCAACCACAAAGTATATTCTTAGAAGTTTATTAAACACAAATTAAACAAGAAAGCTTTTCTGCTGTAGAAACCATCACCCGTATATGGACGGCACAATGTCTTCATTATGAATTGAAAAAAAACTCGTT